TAATTAAGTCAACCGGGGTTCGAACCAGAAATCGTACGAATGGTGACAAGCTTAATTAGTGTCGTACCATTAAGAGCCCATACAAAGTATAGCTTGCACCGGATTAAGAACAACTCTATCATAAGAACTGAATCAACCTGATTCTAAAGCACAGGGGAAAAACGAAGTATCTTCGGGTAGATTCATCCTGATTGTGTTGTCTCCTTTTGTTTAAAGCCATGTACAGAACTTCAAACACCACGGAAACCACCCAACTGAGATTGCAACGACGGTGTCAGATCACGACGAAATCAACATAATATCAACATCATACTGATACCAGCTGAGAAAAACTGCAACCGTTCGATAAGCAGGGTCTACTAATTTTGGTACCTGTTCCGTTCAACTTCAGCGAACCAAACTGCATCTATGCAATCCCTTGCTCGACAATATACATTTTCCGTCGATTTTAAGCATAAAACCTAAGTGTCTCAGCGTTGCGTCGGTTTTAAGTAGTATGCATCAGTTTTTGGGTACTTTTAAGTTGTCATCAAAATTCTGATTTATAATTTGCATGTCATTTCTTAAAAAGGATGACATACACAAAATAACGAGGAGAACATTTTTACTAACAGATAGTCAGTTTTACACTTTACTATAACATAAAGAGTTCATAGGTCATCATTATAACAGCTGTGACCTTGACTAAAAGATACTGTGGCTCGGGCTGCTCTCATCTCAATAATGAGGTGCAATATCCTAGAAAAAAAGTTACTAATCAGGTTGAAAACTATCAAAAGAAGTATAAACTAAAGAACTGGAGATGGTGTGGATACAGATAGACCATTGAATACGACACACCACCATCTTGGATGACGTCTCTAACTAGTGATTTGAGTGATCACAAGGACCCCTGCCAGGCAAACGACACCTGCTCACCTCGCTCAATGGAGCAGTCAGAGTCTTCAATTTTCGTGACCATGTTGTTATTTGACCACCACGTGGTGTTACCCAACTGCTGGTGATTTCAGTGTATGATACCCGGTACGATAAACGTTCAGCTGGCATACGGAGTACGTGACTGAACCATCGCAGGCTGTGCAACACGATCAGTTGACCAATCGATCGCGCATCCCGAGCGTTTCGGAATACGCGCCGGCGAATGGCCATATTCCTCACGCGACCAGTCCATTTAATGTAGACTAACTGGCGGACATAACGATGGTCAAACATAATCAGTTGGTTGATATCTTCGTTGCGAACAGGCCAAGTTTCCGAACCATAGAGCGAAACAGAACGTACACAAGCATTATGTACTCTTTCTTTCACCGACAATCGAACATCTTTTCGACGCCACAGATGACACGGCCTGGCAAACGCAACTCGTGCCTTTGTTATCCTCGCTGATATCACATCGGCAATAGTACAAGCAGACGAGATAATAATATCTAAGTATGTGAAACTGTTCACAGTCTCAAGCGGATTACCCGCAATGAAGAAAGTACGAATGGGAATGCCCTAGTCTTGAAGCCAAACTCCACTTTGAAGGTGCGAAGCGCATTCCATATAAACCAGCTCGGTCAACTTAGTACCAGGAAGGCGCTCAACACCAAGCTCACTGGACTCCTCAAACGCACCCTCCAGAATGTCATCCATAACAAAATTGAACGAGAAGAAGGAAATCGGACACTCTTGACGAACACCACTTTAAGTGATGAACGACCGAGATAGTTGTCTATAAACCCTCACTCTGCTTGCAGAGTGAATATACAGTGATCTCAGTAGATTCACGTAGTTCCCTGGTATTCCTTTGCAAAGTAGACAGTTTCAGAGGACGCTACGAGCAACTGAATCGAAAGCAGCCTTTAGGTTTAAGAACACCGCGACTGTCGGCTG